TTTGAGGCAGGGGCTCACTAGGTAGTTCAAACTGGCCTGGAACTCACAGTGATCCTTCTGCCTCAGCCTCCTGAGTGCTGAGATTACAGACCTACAGTTGTGCACCACCATGGCCGTCAAGTTCACTGTTTCAATAGAAGTAACAAAGACTGTTCTCACCAGGTGTGGTGGTGCAGGAGGAGTGCTGTAACTCAGCCTGGGCTATGCAGTGAGTTCAAGGCCAGCCTGAACTATATAGTGAGACCCTGTCTCAAAAACCAAATTAAAAAAAAAGAGAGGTTTCTACTTTCAGTGAATTTAACAGCCTGAGATGTTAGGCAATTCAATCCTTACAAAAACTCTGTGAAGCAGGTATTACTGTACTGTCCCTAGCGTCCAGGGAGTAAAATCAAGGCTCAAAAGTGGAAATGACTTGAGGTCACATATGCTTAAGGCCATGTGACAAATAGCACATATTTAACATGTACACTTTTCACATTTCAACATTTTTGGATGATACTTTCTTAATTTAAATTTTTAAAAAATTGATGAATAGAGCCCGGACATGGTGGCACAAGCCTGTAATCCCAGCACTCGGGAGACTGAGGCAGGAAGATAACTGTGAGTTTGAGGCCGGCCTGGGCTACACAGTGAGTTCAAAGCCAGCCTGAACTGTGTAGTGAAACCCTGTCTCAAAAAGACAAAAAAAAAAAAATTGACAGTTACGTACACACATAAAAATTGTACACATACATATTCATGAGGTGCCATTCGACATTTCAGTACATGTTTACGTTGTATAATGTTTATATCAGGTTAGACACTATCTCCTTATTTATGACTTTTTAAAATGGGGCAACATCCACAATACTTTCTCCTGGCTTTTGAGATTTGTTATCTGCAGTCACCCCGCTGCGCAATAGCACAGCCGAATTTCTTACTCTTATCCAACTGCATCTTTGCACCCACGGATTGACATCTTCCCATTCCGCCCTTGTGACATTTCAACATTTTTTAAATATCAAGATGCGTTGCAATGGAGCCTTGACACTGTGTCGGTGTAGTCCGGAGCATCTTTCTTAGTGTTTATAAGATAACGACGCGTGGAACAACCCATAGCGTCTCAGACGGGTTGAAATAGGAGCAGGTGACCGGTCCCTCCTGATGGGCGCATGCGTCCCCTCATCCTCGCCCCTCTCTGTTCTTTGGACAGAAGGGGGCGCTGTCCCTGTAGCTGCTGCTCCCGCTTTCTCAGTTCCAGCCCCTCTCTCGGTTCAGTCATTGGGCGCGGCCCCATCCCGCCGGCCACCCGCACCCGCTCGAGCGGCATCTCTGGCAGTGACAGGTTCTCCTCTGTTTTGCTGGGGGTCCCTGGCAGCCCCTGCGCCCCGGATCTAGCTTCTAGCCTGGGCTCAGCGATGGCCCCCTGCTGTCGCCAGTCTCTCACCAGCCGTGTTTTAGCTTTTCAACATTTCCACCTTTCCTGAGACCAATTCCCTGCGTTAGATTTTCTTTCGCTCTGAACAGTGAAACGGAGACTTGGTTTTCTGGGTGTCCTATGCTTCCCACAGCTGGCACCTAAACCCACATTTGCACAGATCCCCCACAGCTTTTCTGCTCTCGGGTACAGAAAGGAGAGATGCTGTATGAATTAATTAAGTAACTCAACGAGCATCCCGTGTTTGTCACCAGAAAGCGACAGACCCTCTGAGAAACTGGACTGTTACAGAGAGTACAGGAATCCACTTGGGCACCAAGCATTGTCAGAAAATTGATTCAGTACGGTTCAAACGTATTACTGTTTTCTATTGTAAGTCACAGTTTTTGTTCCAATAAAAGTCTGATCTTGAATCTGATTCAAGAAGTTGAATCCGATCGGCCTGGCTTGAATTCATGTCCAACCCTCAATCACCAATCACCGTAAGTCAAGGGTCTGTCGCTGGTGCTGGATTTGGAAAGTGGTGAAAGGGTCCATGTAAAAAGAAAATGGAGGCCTCTTGGCAGAAGAGGGAGTGGTATAAGGGATCAAAATAGCAGCTGTCCACTGCAGCATCCTCTTGCTAAAGATGATTAAATAAGCTGGTACTCTAAGCGCCTCAAGTGGTGCCTCATTGAGGCAGATGCTCTTACTAACAAAAGCCTATTTTACTTAGGATGTGTGTCCAAGTACAGAGACTACATTTCCCAGCAACCCTTGCAACAAGACTAGCTACGTGTCAAGGTTCAGGTGGGTGAAGTACAGGTGCCGAGGAAGGCACCTCTTCTGCTAGGAAACCCTGAAAGATTTTGAAGGCCACAACAATAATATTGGAAAAAGAAGGAGGAGGAGGAAGAGGAGAAGAATATCGGGCAATCCATCTAGCATTCCTTTATTACCATCTGTACCTCTCAATCTTTGCACTATTTTCCAATTTTGTAGAATACCAGTAGTCATGCAAATGGCTGTTCCCCATAGAGATGCAAGCAGTTTTCCTCTGAAAGAGCTGCAATTGATTAAGGCTCTGTTAACATCAACTAGTTTTTCCTGCTCTTTGCAAATTCATTTCAGCATATTGGTTGCCTATGCATATACGTATGTAAGTATAATTGCCTACGTGTGTATATATATATATATTTTTTTTTAACTCTCCTTTAACTGCTTTTAAGATCTCACTGGGTTCTCTTACTAAATATGGAGCGAAGTAAAATCTTTGACACATCAACATAATTGCATGATCATATTTTTATAATTTAACACTTCCCAAATAAAACGTGAGACCACATTAAAAAGCCTTGCCTTTTGTCCCTTCTTTCTGACTGGACCATGAACATAAGGCAGGAGGCACAGCAGCCTCCTTGCAACCAAGAGGGGCAAGTCAGAATGAAAGTTTGTGTGCTCAGGATCACAGATGAATTGATTGTTGCTGTAAACCTCTCATCTTGATGTCCTCTGTCTTGAAGGGGTATAGAAATGTAGGGCTCATTGACCTTGTCCATCCAGTTTTTAGAGAGACCCCTTAAATGCCCCTATGCAGGGCTGAGATGTGACCCAAAATCTTTGGGTAATAAAGAAGAGAGACACAAAGTGAAGTCTGGTTTTGTTCTGCTTTGAGTTACCCATCAGCCTTTTGTAGGTCCAAAGGAAAGTTCCTGTTAATTTAACAGAAAAGGCTTGTAAGTCTCTGACTCCACAAAAGAAAACACAGGTGATGCTGTTAGTGAGTAACAAGTTAAGGCTTGGATGTGCACCTGCCCTTTGTCTCCATGGTGGCCCCTGACTGTCCGGACAGCCCTTTCTGTTGCATGCTAAATACAT